AGCTCATCCCCAGAAGGGGGCGTGCAGGAGGCAGCCCATGGATGCTTTTCTCTCAAATCCACATTTCTCTCTCCCTTTCTCTCTAAAAAGTCAATAAAAACATATCAAAAAACAAAGTTCAACTGAATAAATCTGAAGATCTAATTGACTATATAAAGAGATTCATGAATTAGGCAGCATCTCATCTAGCAACTGGAAGGGTGCTCTGAGGGGTTATACAAAATGGGAGGATTTTATAAGAAGGGCGGATCAAGGGAGTTATTAGCAAAAGACAGCTTTTCTTTGGGGGGGGGGAAAGAGGAAGGTTTTTTATTATGTACTTTCTATGGAGGATGGAGAGGGCCTATGTGACAGATTTCCTTACTGGTGCTTGATCAGAAAGTTTCATACTGGTTGATTAAGATTATGTTTCTGGGAGAAGTTGAAAATGCAATTAGATCAGGTACTAAATTTAGATTTGGTATCATGTGCTTTTGGCATGAGTGATGTCATTTGGGGCGTATGGCTTTTTATTCTTCAACAGGTGTTCCTTTTCCCCAGGCCTAGCCTGGAGAAGAAGCCTGACATTACAAAGGGAGGGTGGAGCATGTTGAAACTAGACCTAGTAACTGAGGGTCCCAAACAGTATAGCAGGGACTGTGCTCAGAAAGCCTATAAAGAAAAAAAAAATTTTTTTAAGCCCAGCCAGTATGGTTCAGTAGTTGAGCATTTACCCATGCACCAAGAGGTCATGGGTTCAATTCCCGGTCAGGGCACATGCCCAGGTTGTGGGCCCGGTCCTCAGTTCGGGGCATGCAGGAGGCGGCCAGTTAATGTTCTCTCTCATTGATGTTTCTCTCTCTCTCCCTCTTTCTTCCTCTCTCTAAAAATCAATAAAGAAAAAAAAAGCCTATTAGGATTACTACTTCACCTCCAACTGGGGCATTAAAATAGAAATGGTCTGTGCCCAAAAGTAGGCGAACTTACATCCCTGTAGATTTTCAGTGGTAGCAGTGGATTAGAGATAATTGATTAATTTGTCAAAGAATGGAGTGTTATGAAGATGAACAAGATAATAGAAGCCCTGGCTGGTTAGCTCAGTTGCTTGGAGTGTCATCCCGATATACCAAGATTTCAGGTTCTATCTCTCCTCAGGGCACATACAGAAAGCAACCAATGAATGCATCAATAAGTGGAACAACAAATTGATGTTTCTCTCTCCCCCTCCCCTTCCCCTCTCTTTCTAAAAATCAATAAATAAAAATAAAAAGATAATGGATAGGAGAAGCCTGATACATTATGGGTGTTCAATAGATGCTTGAAGGAAGAAAAAAATAAATGTATAGAGGGTAAAATAGTAAAACTAATTTAAACAGCTGACTCCAACCACCTTTCCCCAACTCCTCCATCCAAACATCCTCCTTTTCCCCCTCCCCCTTCCCTTACCTATGCTCTGCGTCAGAAAGGCATTAGTTCTCCCTGGGTAATTAGTTCTCCCTAGCTTCCTCATTAGCCCTCCTGAACTGTTGATTTCTCATCTTCCAATCTTCAAACCCGACTAAGTATTTTCTCTACTTATTTATTCTTGTGTCTCTAAGGTCAAACACAGTATAAGTGCACGTTAAATGTTTGGCGCATGAATGAATGAATTGTTTTCTTAAGTAGAAAACTTGAAGTGAGTTTAAATCTGAACCCAAACATGTATTACCTGTAAAACTTGGGCAAATTTCTTAACCACTCTGAGCCTCAGTATCCTTGTCTGTAAAAGGGAGATAATGGTATTTGTCTCAAAGGGTTGCTGTGAGAATTAAATGAGATAAAGCACTTATCAGGTACCCAGTACATAGTAACCCCTCAATGTATGATAGATATGATTTATATTCTTTCTTCTTTTTTTTTTTATCCTCACCCGAGGACATTTTTCCATATTTTGTTCAGATAGAGTGGGAGGGAGAGAGAGAGAGAGAGAGAGAAACATCGACGTGAAAGGGATACATTGAGTGGTTGGCACCCACATGACCCAACTAGGGCCAGGGACAAACTGCAACCGAAGTATGTGCCCTTAGCGGGAACCGAACCCGGGTGTCTCTGGACCGCAGGCCGATGCTCTAACTGCTAAGCCAAATGGGCCAAGGCTGATTTATATTCTTTATAAATGTCAAGGAATTCTGATTCTAAATATTCTGACATGTCTTAGAAAAGGGGCTCAGGCCCAGCCGGTGGGGCTCAGTGGCTGAGCATCGACCCGTGCATCAAGAGGTCCCAGGTTCAATTCCCTGTCAGGGCACATGCCCAGTTTGTAGGCCTGATCCCCAGTGGAGGGCATGCAGGAGGTAGCCAATAGATGTTCTCTCTCATCATGTTTCTATCTCTCTCTCCCTCTTCCTTCCTCTCTCTCTAAAATCAATAAAGAGAAAAAAAAATTTTTTTTTAAATAAAAGGGGCTCAGAGCCCAGCCAGTGTGGCTCTGTGGATTGAGCATCATCCCATGGACTGAGCGAGGTCCCAGTTTGATTCCCGGTCAGGGCACATGCCCCAGTTGCAGGCTCAATCCCCGGTGGGGAGCATGCAGGAGGAAGCCAATCAATGTTTCTCTCTCACACTGATGTTTCTATTTCTCTCTCCTTTCTTCTCTCTCTAAAAAAATCAATAAAAACATATTTTATTTTACTTTTAAATGTTTTTTCTTGCCCTGGCCGGTTTGGCTCAGCGGTTAGAGCGTCGGCCTGCGGTCCTGAGAGACCCGGGTTCGGTTCCCGCTAAGGGCGCGTACCTCGGTTGCAGTTTGTCCCCGGCCCTGGTCGGTTGTGTGGGTGGCAGCCACTCGATGTGTTCCTTTCACATCGATGTTTCTCTCTATATATCTGTTCCTCTCTCTCCCTCCCACTCTACCTGAACAAAAAATGGAAAAATGTCCTTGGGTGAGGATAAAAAAAAAAAAATGTTTTTTCTTTATTGATTTTGAGAGAGAGAGAAAGGGAGAGGGAGAGAGATAGAAACATCCGTGAGAGAGAACATCGATTGGCCGTCTCCTGGGCATGTGCCCTGACCCGCGCATCAAGAGGTCCCAGGTTTGATTCCCCATCAGGGCAAATCGGTGGACTGTTTGGTGCATGGGTTGACGCTCAACCACTGAGCCACACAGGCTGGGCTAAAAACATATTTTTAAAAAATAAATTGTAACCTTGGTCCAATATTATATGAAAAAAATAAAAATTGAGCCTGGACTGGTTTGGCTCAGCAGTTAGTGTCAGCTCGTGGATTAAAGTGTCGCAAGTTCAATTCTGGTCAAGGGCACATATCTCGGTTTTGGTTCATCCAAGGCCCTGGTCGGGGTCTGCGGGAGGCAACCAGTTGATGTATCCCTCTCATGTTAATGTTTCTTTCTCTGTCTCTCCTTCTCTCCTCTCTCTCTCCCTCTCTCCCACTCTATATGAAGATAAACAGAAAAATATCCTCTGGTGCCCGGCTGGTATGGCTCAGTGGTTGAGGGTCAACCCATGCACCAAGAGGTCACCGGTTCGATTCTTGGTCAGGGCACATGCCCAGGTTTTGGGCCTGATCTCCAGTGGGGGGTATGCAGGAGGCACCCAATCGATGTTCTCTCTCATCGATGTTTCTATCTCCTTCTCCCGTCCTCTCTCTCTAAAATCGATAAAGGAAAAAAAAATTTTTTTTAAAGAAAAGAAAAAATATCCTCTGGTGAGGATTAAAACAAAAATAAATAAAATTAAAATAAAACTTGAGCTAAAATTCACATAAGAAATTATATAATTGACATACAATTCAACTTCAAATATTTAAAGTGTACAATTCAGAGGTATTTGGTATATTCATAAGGTTGTGCAACCGTCACCACTATCTAATTCCAGAACATTTTCATAATCCCAAATAGAAACCCCAGACCCCTGCCATGGCTGGATAGCTCAGTTGGTTAAAGCATTGTCCCAATATACCAGAGTTGTGGGTTTGATCCCTGGTCAGGGCACATACAAGAATCAACCAACGGCCCTTGGTTCAGCAGTTAGAGTGTCCTCCTGTCGACTGAAGGGTCTCAGGTTTGATTCCTGGTTAATGGTATATACCTGGGTTGCAGGTTTGATCCCCAGCCCTGGTCTGGGTCGTGTGGGAGGCATCCAATGGATGTGTGTCTCTCACATCGTCTCTCTTTCTCTCTCTCTTTCTCGCCCTCCTTGCTTCCATCCATCCCTCCCACTCTCTCTAAAAATTAATGGAAAAATAGCCTCGGGTGAGGATTAACAACAAGAACAAAAAAAATTGAATCAACCAACGAATGCATAAATAAATGGGACAACAAATTGATATTTCTCTCTCTCTAAAAATCAATCAATCAATAAAAGAAAACAGACCCCAGACCCATTAGTAGTCATTCCCCATCTCTCCCTCCTCCAGCCCCTGACAACTACTAATCTACTTAGTTTTAATGGATTTGTCTGTTGTGGACATTCCATATACAGTCGTCTCTCGCCACTTTGTGCTTCGATGTTTGTGGCTTCACTCTATTGCAGTTTTTTCAAATAACATAATCACTACCTTTACAGGAAGAGTAGAATTTGCTGAGATGGAGGAAAAGAAGCATTCCAAGCTAGATTAACAGGGAGAATAAAGATGTGGGACCAGGAAAGAGCTCAAGATAGGGAATAAGGGCCAGAAGCAGGTATCTGTGGGTTGGAGTTAAAGGATGACTCGAAGCCCAAAGGTAGAAAACCCAAGTCCAGTTTTTGAAACTAAATGGAGGTGGTTCTTTTAGTTCACTTGCCCTGGGACCTTAAAGGACAGGGTGGAAAGAATTCAAAATCAAGAAAAGTAGTTTTTAGAACAAGACACCTTCTCTCCAGACTTTGATCTCTCAGGAATGGGGCCTAGATATCTCTGGGTTCCCCACCATTGCCCAGGCCAGGGCTTGCCACAGAGAGGGCCTAACAAAAGTGAATGCATGAAATAAGCTCTGGCAAGTTAATAAAAATTGGAGCCTCTGTTTCCCCATCTGCAAAGTGGTGATTTTATTTATTTATTTGTTTTACTACAATACCGGGTCGATAGGCAGACTGGATGAAGCAAGCTCCTATTCCATCTCCCTGCTCCAAAAATCCATTTACTATATTGTCCTTGGATAAAGGACGTATCAGATATTTAAATGGTAAGAACAGATACTACACTAGGTCTTAGCCAAAAGGCTGAGAAACAATTCAAAGTGATTTTATAGCTACTTTGTGAGATTAACAATATATGTTGATTAAGGGACCTCAGGTGCCAGACTCAAATCCTGGTTCTGACATTTATTAGCTGCATGAATAGGTAACTTACCTTCTGTTTTCCATTGATAAAATGGGGGGTATTAATACTACTTCATGGCGTTTTTATGAGGATTAAATAGGATAACATAAAAGTTGAAAAGTATCTGGTACACAGGGTGCTCTAAATGTACTAATTATTACTGTGAAGATTTAAATGGAGGAAAATGTAGCCCTGGCTGGGTAGCTCAGTTAGTTAGAGAGTTGTCCTGATATGTCAAGGTTGGGGGTTCCCTCTGGTCAGGACATATACAAGAAGCAACCAATGAGTGCATAAATAAGTGGGACAACAAAAATTGATGTTTCTCTCACTCTCTAAAATCAACTTTGAAAATAAATAAATGGTGTGGTTCAGTGGCTGAGTGTCGATCTATGCACCAAGAGGTAGCTGGTTCGATTCACAGTCAGGGCACATGCCCAGGTTGTAGGCCCAATCCCCAGTGGGGGGCATGCAGGAGGCGGCCAGTCTCGATGTTCTCTCTCATCGATGTTTCTCTCTCTCTCTCCCTCTCCCCCTCCCTTCCTTTCTTTCTAAAATCAATAAAGAACCCTGGCCAGTTTGGCTCAGCAGTTAGAGAGTTGGCCTGTGGTCCAGAGAGACCTGGGTTTGGTTCCTGCTAAGGGCACGTGCCTCAGTTGTGGTTTGTCCCTGGCCCTGGTTGGGTCGTGCAGGAGGCAGCCACTCGATGTGTACCTTTCACGTTGATGTTTCTCTCTCTCGCTCTTCCTCTCTCTTCTTCCCACTCTATCTGAACAAAAAATGGAAAAATGTCCTCGGGTGAGGATAAAAAAAAATCAATAGCCCTGGCCAGTTTGGCTCAGCAGTTAGAGAGTTGGCCTGTGGTCCAGAGAGACCCGGGTTCGGTTCCTGCTAAGGGCACGTACCTCAGTTGCCGTTTGTTCCCGGCCCTGGTTGGTTGTGCGGGTGGCAGCCATGCAATGTGTCCCTTTCATGTCAATGTTTCTCTCTCTCTCCCTCCCACTCTACCTGAACAAAAAATGGAAAAATGTCCTCGGGTGAGGATAAAAAAAAAATTTTTTTTAATTAAAATAAATGAATAAATGGGAGGAAATGTGATGATTGTAGTGTCTAGTTCAGAGGTTTTCCAACCCCGGCAGATGTTCTGACAAACAGGCATTGTGCCTACAGGAAGAATTACTGGTTTCTTCATCCTCTTACCCTTTTGGGGTAGGATTATTTCTGCAAAGGGAGCCAAGAGTCTCACTCAGGTCCCTTCATGGGTAAGTCAGGGTGGAGAGGGAACCCTGCAGTCCCGTTTCTGGTGATCAACCCTTTCATAGGGCTAGGGGCTGGAAATCCTCTCTCTTCTCTATCCGGCAGGACAGAGCGCCCTCTCCTGATCAAAGGCGGGAATAGCTCTGGCCCAGAGTTTCTGGGGTGGGCCTCAGTGGATCTCACTACCTTTCAGGTGTTCCTCTCTGCTGAAATTCCCCAAATCGGCTCTGGGTAACAAAGTTTGGGCGAGGAGCGCCAAGGCTGGGGTGAAATTGGTTTAATATTTTAGAGGGGTGAGGTTGGATAATTCGGCTAGAGTCGGGGAGGGGCAGGAGAGACTGGGATCAGGAAATAAGAGAATTCAGGGCCTTGCTGAATTAATTTTATGTTCTTTCAACAGGTGATGGAACGGAGTGGAGAGGTAAGGTGACAAAGTTGATTATCCAACAGGTCAAACCCGGTGTACAAGGCTCTTCCGGCTGTCCCAACATCCGGAATTAATGGGACAGATGAGGGCTAGAGAGGCATGGCATGAGAGGACGCCAGATTAAGGGGGAGAGCCCAGGGCCTGGGTCTGCAGAAGCCGGGAGGAGCCAGCAGAGGATCTGGGCGCAGTTTCCTTCCCAAGTTCCACCCCAAGCCTGCCAGCCCCGCCCCCACCATTCCCACTCCTCCACCCCCCTCCCCGCCGCTCACCCCCTTCCGTGTCCTAGTCTACCCCCTGGGTCCTCACATCCCCGCTCCTGGCCTGCGCCAGCGAGGTGTCCTCACAACCACAGCCTGGGTGAGTATGGGGATGGGTGTGCAGAACCGCTGGGCAGCCCCACTTGGGGGAGCTCGGCCACGTGGACCAGCCTCCGCAGGGCTCGGTCCCTAACCCTGGGAGCCCTGGTGCCTACCCAGGAACAACTGCTGAACTGATTCGCTGAACTGACGCCCCCCCCTCCCCCCGCCCCGCCCCTATCTTACTCGGGGCTGTGTGGGCAAAGGCTGAGCTCTTCCTTCTTAACTCCATAGGGACTCCTGGTCCGCATTCCTCCTTAGGTGCCTGGAAATGCGGGGGTGGGGGGCTTCGGAAGGAATTTGTAATCCAATAGATTAGTTTCAAATCTCAGCCCTGTCAGTTTTTAGCATGTGACCATGAGCAAATGTTTTTAACCTTCCTGAGCCTCTGTAAAATGGAGATATACAGGCCATAGCACCCACCTCATAGAATTATAGTGAGGTTTAAAAGAAACTGAAACTGGAATGCCTAGATTGAGAAAGCACCTAGTAACTGAATTTAGACTGAAAGCTGAGAAGATCTTTAAGGACCTTTGAAGATAAGGTAGGGGTACTCTTAAGAAATCAGTTTTCAACTAAGTAATACCTATGAGGAAGTCAGAGCTGACTGGGGCTGAAGAGCTGCCCTTCAGGTAGTGAGCTCCCTGTTCTGAGGCCTGGAATTGTTGAATGACCAGGTTGGAATGGTCTTATCTAAAACACATTATCCCCGTGTTGAACAACTTTGGGAACAGGCCCAGAGTGGTTAGGTGACTTGCTCAAGGTCACACAGCTAAAAGGGAGACCAGGTACATCTGGAAAAAGTGGAATAGCCTGCTTGTCACCCCCCTGGATTATTCATTCCTTGAGGATCTAGTTTTCAGTTTGGGGACCCCAGGGGCTCATGAGGGATCTATAGCAGCTGGTTTAAGGGAGGGATTTTGGGAGGAGGGACTAATACTGTTACAACCACAGAAGCTGGGTTTGATCTGGTGGGGAGAGTGTTCCCCTTCCAGGGCCCTGAGTTGAGAGACTCAGACCATTTGGGGACTGATACAAGGAATGTGCTTGATTGGAGAGGCTCACCAGAGCCACTTCCACCTCCCCTGGGAGACCCTTGGCCCCTAAAGGGAGAAAGAAGCTTGAGCAGTTAGGGTAGGCTGTCTGACAGGGCCTGGCAGAGAAGTGGGCGGGGGAAGATAGATGAGAATGCAGAGGCCTATTTTCCTGGCTTGTTCTGGAATGCCAGCAGGCCAGCCTTATGGCAGGTTTTTCTGGAGGGCGGGGCCCAGAAGAGTTGGGACTTCATCTGGTGAGGCCCTTGAATCCAGAAGAATGAGTTCTTTTTTTTTTTTTAATGTTTTTACTGATTTTTTTTTTTTCCATTTTTTGTACAGACAGAGTGGGAGGGAGAGAGAGGAAGAGAGAGAGAGAGAGAGAAACATCGACGTGAAGGGACACATCGAGTGGCTGCCACCCGCATGACCAACCAGGGCCGGGGACAAACTGCAACCGAAGTACTTGCCCTTAGCGGGAACCGAACCCGGGCCTCTCCGGACCGCAGGCCGACGCTCTAACCGCTGAGCCAAACCGGCCAGGGCTTTACTGATTTTTTAATTTAATTTTATTTTTTTTAATATTTTTTCATTATTGATTTTTAGAGAGAGAGGAAAGGAGAGAGAGATAGAAGCATCAATGAGAGAGAACATTTATTGGCCGCCTTCTGCATGCCCCCCAATGGGGTTTGGGCTCAAAACCTGGGCATGTGCCCTGATCGGGAATTGAACCGGTGACCTCTTGGTGCATGGGTCGACGCTCAACCACTGAGCCACACTGGTTGGGCTTTATTGATTGTTGAGAGAGTGAGCTAGAAACATTGATGTGAGAAAAGAAACATTGATCAGCTACCTCCTGCACTCCCCACACTGGGGGTCAAGCCCGAATCCCCGGCATGTGCTCTGACTAGGAATCGAACCGGGACGTCTCAGTTCATGGGATGAAGCTCAATCCACTGCGCCACATCGACCAGGCCAGAAGAGTGAGTTCTTTATGTATCTGGAACCAGCCCTAGTTTGGCAACAAGAAACCTAAGTTCTGAGGATGGCTTTCCCTCAGGCTCAGCATAGGCTTTGGGAAAGAACCTTCTCTCTGTACCTTGTTTTCTCTGTCTTTATAATGGGAACAGGGATGACTGACTCATTTATATAGGGTTTGGTTTTTACCTTTCTTCCTTCTATAAACAAGCACCCCTTCTCCCTCCCCTTCTAATCTGACCTTTCTGCCCAGATCTCTGCCCCAAACTTAGGGGCTAGATGGCTTCCTTGGACCCACAGAGGTAGGGGTCAAGGTAGGCCACAGTTGTAGTTTGTGACCCTGTAACCCTGAGCAGGTTCCTGTCCTTCTCTTGGTCTCAACTTCTTCTATACACTGAGGGAGTGCTAGGCTAAGATTGCTGGTGTGTATTCAACTGTTATAGTATTCAACTGGTGTGTATTCCTAACCTTAGATAACCTCATCTGAGGGGAGTCACATCGCTCATGAGCCCATACCTACTCTCCAGAAGGGGTGGACAGGTTCCTGGCACTTGGAAGCCTCCAGAAGCTGAATAGGCAGCTTTCTCCAATTGCAAGCCCAGGCCAGTACCAGGCCTGATTCTGCAAAGCCTTTCACCCTCAGAGCATGTGAGGCAGCAGGTGGGGACAAACAGGGAGTCAAAGTTCTGTTAGTTTCTATGGAGTCCTTCCTGCTATTGGATTGTGGTGCAGGCACACAGAGCACACAGAGCCTGAGAAGGGACTGAAGGTACAGAGGGACCCTGGGTAGGTTGGTAAAGGAGTGAGAGTGGATGGGTGGCCCTGAAGCCTTTTGGCTCAAGGACCTGGGGAAGAAATGGACCATTCTGTGTACTAGGAGGCTTTAGGATTGGTTCCTGAAATAAGAGTGACTAGTTAGGCCAGTTCCTGTAGTTCTAGGCCCGTCAAAGCAGGCAAAGGGGAGAGGTCTCCCAATCTATTCAAACTTCTTTGCAGCACTTGTTTAGTTAATTGTCTTTCCTCTGAAATTGAGGGTGAATGTTCTCATGGGATTCCAAATCAGTCTTCCTCATTCAGGGCAGGAGCTGTCCAAACTTAGGGGCTAGATGGCTTCCTTCTTGGACTCAGTCTGAGGAATGAGCACAAGAGCTGACTTTACCAGAGTCCCATCCTTGCTGCCTTGGGCCCTGACAGCATGCCACTCCATCACCAGGTCTGACAAGATGTACCAGGTCCCACTGCCACTGGACCGGGATGGGACCCTGGTCCGGCTCCGCCTCACCATGGTGGCCCTGGTCACAGTCTGCTGTCCACTTGTCGCCTTCCTCTTCTGCATCCTGTGGTCCCTGCTCTTCCACTTCAAGGAGACTACGGCTACACACTGTGGGGTAGGGATTGGGGGCACTGATACCTCATATTCAGACCCAGTTGGATCTATTCTGGATCCTGGTTCTGTTATAACAGGATTAGAAGTCGGGTCCATCAAATATGCTGGGTTGCTGGGGGGGATGCCTGTAAATTGAGGCCACAAGGATTAATCTCCCTCTACCTTCCATGGAGGTTGCTGGGGCTTGGGGTTACTAAAGTTGGGCAGCCCCAGAACCTAGTCCTTCATAGAAAGGCAGATGCAGGAGACCCAGGGTTTTCTGGGGGATGGAGAGAGAACAGGACTGGGCTAGAGGGCATTTGGAGCCTCTTAATATGGCACTGTGGTCTGTGCCTGTCTCTGGGAATGTGATTATGTATATGTATGCATAACTGTAGTGGCCATGACTATAAAGGCTTTGAGTGGGATATGTGTGTGAGAGAGACTGTATTTGTGCCTGTCTGGGTGAGGATCTGATTATGAGTGTGTGTTCTGGGGTAGGTCCCATGTCCTCTGAGGTTCCATAGGTGGCCATGTATCCTCTGGACAGTGATATGGGGTGCTGGGTCAGGAAGAAAGATGTGAGAGTCCTTTCTCTGCAGGATATTCGAGTAAAGGGAGTGAAACCTGTGCTCACTTTGGCAGTGTATATACTAAAATTGGAATGATACAGAGAAGATTAGCATGGCCCCTGTGCAAGGATGACACACAAATTCATGAAGCGTTCCGTATTAAAAAAAAGGGGGCGGGGGTGAGACCTGTGTTGACCTCTGTTATACCAGTTTATCCACTGACTCTATATATTACTTGAGACAATAATACTGAGCTTCAGTTTCCCCATGTCTAAAATGGGGTTCATAATTCCTGTCCTCCTCCTCCTCCTCAAGGCTAATGTAGAGCTCCAGGTAGAGGAAGGATAGGAAGGTGGTTTGGGAAATGTGAAGGGTGGAAGGAAATGTGAGGAGCAGATGAGGAAAAGCAAATTGTTAGGCTGGAAAACAGAGCGGAAGAGGAATTTACCCAGGTGTTTTAGGTAGAAAAGAGGCCTGAACATGAACTTTTTTTTTTTTTTGGTACGTGTCCCTACTGGGAACTGAACCTAAGACTCTCTGGTTCACAGGCCAACCCTCCAACCGCTGAGCCGAACCGGCCAGGGCCTGAACATGAACTTTTGCATTAGCCTCAGAGAGAGCTCTGATGGCCCCCAGTCAGCTGAGCTTCCCCTCTTTCTATAAAGAGCATTTGCTCCAGAAAAAGGGCTGTGACTAGCAGTGGAGTCTGGCTGGGAATTGGAGTGGGGCACTTATTTTGTTCATAGGACTTGAAGTTTTCGCTCTCTGTTTGTCAGTAGGTAATCATGGGCCTTGAGCTGTGGGCAGCTAGTCTGATGAAACCTAGGCTGGGAGCTATCAGAAAGAACAGGACAGGTAATCTAAGGGGGAGGATTAGAAAGAATCCATGACCTAGTTCTCACCTTAGATAATACATCAAATGTTTCTATTATTCTGGCCAACTCCTTCATTTTGCAACTGCTGCTGAACTACCTCCTCCTCCAAAAAGTCTTCTTCAGCTTCCTTGCGGCAAACTTAATCACTCCCTCCTCTGGATACCCACAGTACCCTGTGTTCTCTCTCCCACAGTTCTATCACCTTATATTTGTGTATCTTCCCAAACAGGCTGAGAGCTCCTTAAAGATGAGCACTACATCTGAATCAGTATTTGTTGGATAAGTAAATAGGATACCCCAGCCCAATGCTCTGGGAAAAGTATGGCAATGGTATAATGCAGTCATGGTCCATACAGAAAATCATAGTATTTGTACAGCATATGGAGTTAAATGTTGGCTGTTTGCTCTGCTCCTCATGGCTGGCTCCAAGAGCTCATGAGATCAATAACCTCAGCATATCTGGCATATTTATGACCTATTCTTGGCATACTGGTTATGTAGCTAAGGCAGAGGTAGTTGTAGGAGGGGTACCTGGCCCCTCTGGGCAGGACTAGGCCTAGCGACCCTGTGGGTATTTTGTTCTCATTTCCTGGGACTACCATGTTGGATCCCCTAGGGATTTTTGTATATGCTCTGAATTTTTCAGCCTGAATTTCCCAGGAATGACCAACCCTAGGAATAAAAGAAGTAACCTTAGTTTAACATATCGATAATTAGATGATTTTACCTCTACTTGCACATGCCCAATGATGGGGAGTTTTCTTCCTCCCCAGGCAGCCTGTTCCAAAGAGATTTAGTAGCTAACAATTAGCAAGCTGTTTCTTATGGTGAGCATAAACTCTTTTCCTGGCGATTTTCTGCCTCAGGAACCTTAGAGCTACTCTTTCCTCCTGGTTTCCAGCCAGCCCTGCAGAGATGGGAGTCCCTGAGCCTACTCTTAGTTAGTATAGCTCTAGTTCCATCAGGCGCTGTTGATCACTGTTCTCTCCATGCTAGGCCCTGATCTGGGCATAGGACTACATATGGCCTGAGCAGTACAGGTGAATGCAGGACTGTTCCATTCCTATTATAGGCTATCATGCCTCTATTAATGTAGCCTGAGTTGGCTATTAGCTGTTTCTGCATAGGTTCAGGCTGGATACTGATAGCTCATATTGAGGCCTGTCTAGATCTCTTTTGGATCATGAATCTATTGTCCTGAGATTAGCTAGCTCTCCATTGGGGCCCAACAACATACTCAGTCCTACTCCAACCAAAAGGGGCAAAATCCTATTCTGTTTTCCACTTTTCCCTTTCCAGAAAACTGCCTGTATCCCTAGACACAACACTCAGAAAGGTCTCCACCCCCATCCCTGGCAAGAACGTTATTGTGGGCTGATCTTAGCCACTGTCACTTCTTACCTTTGCAGAGTGTTCCAGAATTTATGACATGGCCTTGTTGGTCCTAGGAAGGCTGTGTGCCTGGGCAGGCATGGAGATCTGGGCACTTTGTGGGCGGGAGGGCTGGCCCTGGGGAGTTGGGGGTGGGACCCTGTAGTCTTAGAACAGTCTCAGTCTGGCTAGAGCCCTCAGCCCAAGCCCCGGATCCTTCAGCACCCGGTGTGAGTGTTGCTCAATGCGGGCCCCCCTCCCCTAATCTCTCCCCTGTCCCATTCCCTGATGCTGAGTTAGACTAGTGGACTGGGGTTCCCTAATGGAGGGAGGTATGAGTCCCAAGGGCAGATTTGATCCTAGGCCTTTTAATACAAAGTCATCTTTGTCCAACCTCCCTCTCCCAGAAGGGAGCCCAGCTTGAGGGGCCATGATGGGCAGGACCTTAGAGGGTGGAAAGGGAGTTCTGTGCCTGGAGGAAGAAGGGAGCAGCAGGGAGCTCCCTGGGTTTAGATCTGTCTGTCCTAGGTCTGGCCCAGCACAGCAGGCTCTAGCTGAGTGGAGAAGTTTCCCATGATCCTCAGAGTCCTGTAAATCTTGGATTGGGTGACATGGGCTTCTCAGAGAGAAAGAAGATAGAGGTCTGGGCCTCAGAGCGACCCTGGTGTCTTGGGGTTGGGGTATACTGCTGGCCTGAGGCTTGGATCATTCTGAGCCTGGGGGTTGGATGGCTGGCAGCTTGTGGTCCCATTGAAGTAGGTTCTGGGGCACGCCCACTGTTCCTGGTTGAACATGGGTAAAGAGCAGGAATGTGGTCAGACAGGGTCAGTGGGAGGGCTTGGGCCAGTCTGAGCTAGGGTCCTTTGTCTAGGATCCTTGACCTGAAGAAAGCCTTGTTTGGAGCTTTAATCTGTCAGGTGGCAAGAGGCCTTAGTCCTAATAATTGATCCTGGCATAGTTCTGGGCCTCAGTCTCCCGTTCTGTGGAATGGGAGTAATAACCCTTCCACCTCTGACCCTTCTCCTGAGTGGGTTTGATGGTAGTGAGAATGAGGTAGGCCATCAGAGCTTTCATGTCCAGACCACTAGGCGCCTGTTTTCCAGACTCTTTGAGAGGTGGCCAGTGTGCCAAGAGTATTCCTCAGAGCTGATCCTGCCTATCTCTGCTGCTCTTGCCCCATTGCCCTCTGCACCTCTTCTCTCCTGCACTATTTTTCTTTCCCCTTTATGCTCTTTCTACTCTGGCTCTTTTTTATACCTTGAGTAGCTCTGGAAAAGGCCCTACTTTTCCAGGCCCAGGTATCCCACTAGGCCCTACGTTGTGTCCCTCACCCTGCCTAGGCACCACTTCCTACAGGATGTTCTCCGCAGCCTCCCAGCCCTTGGACCCTGATGGGACCATCTTCCGGCTTCGCTTCACAGCCATGCTCTGGTGGCTCATCACTTTCCCCGTGTTCGGCTTCTTCTTCTGCATCATCTGGTCCCTGGTGTTCCACTTTGAGTACACGGTGGCCACTGACTGTGGGGTGAGTTCCAGGCTCCCAAGTACCTGGGTCAGGGCCAGGTCGGGAGATGGAGGTAAGGGCAAAATCAGAGAGTAGGAGAGAAGGTGGAGGGTCAGAGAAAGGGGGAAGGGATAAAAGGATGGTGGGGGGCAGGTCAGAGTTCAGGGAAATTTGCAGGGAGAGACTCAGAGAGTAGGGTCACAGTCCTCTGAGAGTAGAAGAGGATTATAGGGAGTGCAAGGGAGCAAAGGGGAGAGGGGGAAGGGAAGGGAGTGGAAATAAGTAAGAGAGATCATGAGAGGGAGAAGAAGGCTGAAGAAAGACCTGACTGAAAGAAAAGCCAGGACTGAAGAGGTAAGATGTGGCCAGGAGCTAGAAGTAACAGATAGCTATAGTTGAGACTGGGGGCCTAACCTAACAGGACCCCCAGCCCTGCTCTGGGATCTTCTAGCTTGGTTTCTGTCTCTGGCCTTCTTGTGTCCACTCAGGGTTCTGCCAGCTAGAAACCTAGATGGACTTCCTGCCTCCGAGATCAGTCCACCAGGCCTTTGCTGAGGACTCAGGAGTAGAGGGTCTGTGTCAGGGGCATTGAATTGAACGTGGACTTGCCCGTAGCATCTCATTCATACAAGAGAGAGTCCTAGGGCCAGACGGTCACTACAAAGTGAGACAGAACTCCTGTTGTATTAAAAGGGAGGGCAGGGATAGCAGGGCCCAGAGGGAGCATATAACCCAGGTTGGACGTTGGGGAAGACTTTCTTTCTTGAGGGGGCATTGTTGCTATGGGGTGAAGAAGAATCTTTGTGAATGCCACCTGACAACTTTTTTGGGGGAGGTGGCTGACAACTTTTGATTTTATCCAGAGGGCAATGGGAAGCTTTGGAAAGATTTTTTTCTTTATTGATTTTTTTCTTATTTTTTTAGAGAGAGGGACAGGGAAAGATAGAAACATTAGAGAGGACATCAGTTGGCCCCCTCCTGCATGCCCCCCACTGGGGATTGGGCCCACAACCTGGGCTTTTGTCCTGACCAAGAATCAAACTGGCAACCTCTTGGTGCATGGGTCGACGCTCAACCACTGAGCCAACCATCTGGGCAAGATTTTATCGAGAAAGGGACATGATCACATTTGTGGTTTAGAAGACCAATCTGCCTTCTAAAAGGAGGGAAGGGGACAAGAGTAGGGAGACCAGTGAAGAGGCTTATGCTGCTGGGGAGACCAGAGCTAAGATGGGGACTGTAAGGATAAGGAGGAGGGGATGGAATCCAGAGAATAGAAAGTGGAAATGATGGGAGTGGGAGTTTTTTACTAGTTGGCAAGGGGCAGGGAGCAGTAAGGTATATAAGAAAGTCATCCGTAATTTTAGGGAACTTTTTTTTTTTAATCCCCATCTGAGGATATTTTTCCATTGTTTTTTAGATAGAATGGAAGGGAGGGAGGGGAAGAGAGAGAAGGAAGCATCAATATGAGAGAGATACATCGATTAGATGTCTCCTGCACGACCCTAACCAAGGCAGGAGAAACAAGCATGTAACCCAGGTATGTTACTTGACCAGGAATCAAACCCAGACCCTTTGGTCTGCAGGCTGATGCTTTAACCACTGAGCCAAACTGGCCAGGGCATAATTTCAAGGATCTTTTATCAGAGGCCAAAGGAATGAATCTCTAATGGTGAAATCTGAGGTGCTATGACAGGGAATATTTTGGGCTCCCTCCCTTTATATCATGTGAATTTCTGATCTGCTGCCCTGCCACAGATCCACTGAGCCATGTCCTCCAGGCCAAAGGGTTTCTGTTCTTGGGAAAAGGGGTTATGTTCCCATCTCTCAGTACTCTTAGCTCTAGGCTCATGGTAAGGTTTGAGGTGAACCGTGTACCTGGTTTCTGATAGCTCCTGATGTTGCTTGCTTGTTGCTGGCATAGTTGGTAAGTAGGGAATTTGTGTGCTTGGAATAGGATGTGTTTATGTGAATGTGAGTGTCTTTATGAGATTGTGTGTGTGTGTGTGTGTGTGTGAGAGAGAGAGAGAGAGAGAGAGATGGGAGAGACAATCCCTGCTTTTAGAACTCTGCTCTCACCACTAATCTGGGTGGAATTTGTGAGGACAGGACTGGCAGCCCCAGGACTCTAATTCTCTCATCACAGGACCCTAATTTTCTTTTCCTCCCAAGGTGTCTCCCCAATTCTCTGCTATTTCTACTTTTTTTTTTTTTTAATATGTTTTCATTGCTTTTTTTAGAGAGAGAAGAAGGGAGAGCGATAGAAACATCGATGTTAGAGAGAAACTCGATCAGCTGCCTCCTGCACACAACCCGGGCATGTGCCCTGACAAGGAATCGAACTGGGACTTCCCACTCCATGGAACTACACTCAATCCACTGAAGCACACCAGCCAAGCCCATCTCTACTCTTTACCTGTTTCCCAGCATTGGTCAGGGATCTGCGCCCGTAAATGCACTGGGCTCTCCCCTCCAAGCTTTAGAGGCTGGTCCTGTTCCCTTTAAATAGCTGAGATTGTGGCACTAGTTTTCAGAATGAATATTCTAGGAAGTGGAGGCAGCACTCCCACTAACTCTACTCAGAGGACCTATTCACAGAGGCAGAAAAGTCAGAGAGGAATGAAGGTCTCAGAAGTGTCTGGTGAAGATATGATTCCCATTTCTCCCTCAAGTAGGCCATCCCATGTTTGACTGCAATATAGTAGCTCACTACCTATTTACAGGCTTTTCAGGGAAGCTTTTCTCCTGAAAGCCATCCTTTGTATCCACTGTGAGCCAGATACTGCAGATGCTTTGTATCCATTATATTTAATATTCACAATCACCCTGCAAGGTAGGTAGTGGTTTCCCTATTTTGTCATTGAGGAAATTGAAGCTCAGAGAAGTGAAGTGGCTTGCCCAAAGTTACCCTACTAATAAAGGCAGAGCTGGGATGCAGACCCAGGTTAGTGTGTCTCTAGAGCAGGGGTGGGGAACGTCTAGCCCGTGATCGTATAAGGCCTGAGAAATCAATACCTGCTAACATCACACAACTCACCAAATTAGCCTGACCAAATATAGCAGGCTAATTTTTTTTTAAATATATGTTTCTTAATTGATTTTAGAGAGAGGGGAAAGAAGAGGGAGAGAGAGATAGAAACATCGATGGGAGAGAACATCGATTGGCCGCCTCCTGCATGCCCCCCACTGGGGATCGGGTTCACAACCTGGGCATGTGCCCTGACCAGGAATCAAACCGGATACCTGTTGGTGCATGGCTCAACGCTCAACCACTGAGCCACACTGGCCAGACTAGCAGGCTAATTTTAAGTTGATAATTTTTTATGGCCCACGAATGATGTTATAAATATCCAAGTGGCCCTTGGCAGAATAAAAGTTCCCATCCCTGCTCTAGAGCCTCCATGCTGCCTCTTCACTGAATACTCGGAGTGAATATCTGAGCCTGGTCTCGAGCTATGGTATCTCAAGCCCTGGCCTTGAGAGCAGCACCCTTTCTCTAAGAGTTTTGCACTTAGTTTCTTCTGACAGTGCTGATGGGAATCCATCTCCTTTTCTGTGAAGGATGTGAAGCCCCTGGCTGGTGCCTCTCTAGACCCACCCCTGCCCTGTGAGCTGCTTCCATCATGCCTACCTGCCTAGCTGCTTTGGAAAACTATTCAACATCCCCAGTGGGAAAAAGGAAGGGATCTTACAGAACTCCATCTCTGAAGATTGGTCCCATCATAATCACAGCAGGGTCATTCCCTCTCTGGACTCTGGCACTGCTCTGGCCCTTGTTGAAAGTCTAAAAAAGTTTATGAAAAGTGTGGGCAACAGACTGGTAGCTTCCACAGTCTTGGAATCTTTCAGAAATGCAGATGATTGGATCCCAGGCCTTCTCACTCTCACACAATCCCCAGTGAGTTAATTATATGCATATTAAAGTTTGAGAAGCAGCTCCAGGCCTGGCATCTAAGAGATGCAACTCCTGGCTTTCTTGTGCCCATCAAAACAGCTGTTCATTCACCCCCCCATCCTCTCACCTCACCCTCCCATACAAGCAACACCGCAATCCTTGCAGCTGTATATTGTCTCCTCCCCTTCCTCAGCTTGAAAGAATAATGCTCCAATTTCTTAAGGAATGATGAAACCCATTTTTGAGAAAGATGGATGGAAGAGATGTACAAGAACAGGGTGACTACCACAGGTTAGGAGCATCCACGTTCTTAAACATGAGCAGGGTGAGGGTGCCCTTCTGGCCCAGCTCCCCCAGGATCTCATAGTACCCTCTACTATCTTGGCACACCTGCCCAGCCCTGCCCCAAGGAAGCGCAGATGGTCTCTGACTCATCCCTGTCATGGGACTGAATCTGGGGCCCGGGGCTCATGGAACCTCTCACCGGGCCTTCCACTACTGGCTCAGAGAGTCTCTGAACCTGTCTGAAGCTTTTCTAGCTATATGTAGGGAGATGGAGAAGGTCACATATGTCCCTGCACAAATGTTAGTCTGGCTGGGGAATGAGAACCAAGTGCTTTAGGGAGCTGGCACCTGGACATGGCAGTCTCTGAGGAGAGCTATGTGGGTACCTGAAGGAAGCCTTCCTGGAAGGGAGGGGACTAGAGCACAGCCTTCTGAGGGCCAGGTTGATTAGATGGAGAGAAGGATCTCCAGGTGGGTGGGCCTTGCAAGGGCCAGTGCCCAGATGGGTCACAACTCTCTAGGTGCCCAATTACCTGCCTTCGGTGAGCTCGGCCATCGGTGGGGAGGTGCCCCAGCGCTACGTGTGGCGCTTCTGCATCGGCCTGCACTCTGCACCACGCTTCTTGGTGGCCTTCGCCTACTGGAACCACTACCTCAGCTGCACCTCTCCATGTCCTAGCTACCAACTGCTTTGCCGCCTCAACTTCAGCCTCAACATCATCGAGAACCTCGCACTGCTATTGCTCACCTACGTCTCCTCTTCTGAGGACTTCAGTGGGTGCCCGGAGGAGGGAAGGAGAGTGGGGAAGGATTCTGGGAGGGAATGCCCTGTCCCTTCCTTACTCCGACCTTCAGGCATAGGGTTTGGGTGCTCCCTGCAATGCTCACTCCTAACCCTCCTCTCTCCCTCCAGCCATCCATGAAAATGCTTTCATTGTGTTCATCGCAGCATCCCTCAGTCACATGCTCCTTACCTGCATTATCTGGCGGCTGACCAAGAAGCACACGGTAAGTCAGGAAGTATGGTGTAGACCTGGGGCTCCAGGTGGCCCAGAGGAAAATCAAGACCTCCTCTGGATGCAGTTAATGTTGAGGTGGGAACTGGTGTTCTAATTGGAACCTGGGCTGGGGCTGGGACTTGGAGACAAGTGGAGGGTGACTGGCTGGTCAAAATCTAAGACTGTGTTTGGGTAGTATGGGAGACTGGAGAATAGAGGAGATGGAGGCTTCAAATGGAGGTGGAATGAGGGGCAACACCAGGCTGCAGCAGGTTAGGAAGATGTGTCAGGGTCTGTAATCTGTAATAACTCCAATTGCCCCCCGCCACACATACACCTTTTTTCTCCCCACCATATCTGGACATGTTGGGTTGGTTGGTTGACGCCAAAGTAACTTTCATATTCCATCCCCTTGAAGTGGGAAGGGCAGGGACACCACCATTCCTTGGCCCTACTAGCAAGGAATGTGAACATGCCCATCATTCCTGCCACCCCTGCTTATGCCCCTTCCATGACCAAGGGAGGAGACACTTGCCCTTAGGAGTTGGGGCTAAGAGAGGAGGCCAGATACCTATCCAACAAGCTGCAGAGTGATCAGCTTATCCCATAGGATCAGAAGTCCTACAACTGGAAACAGCGGCTCTTCATCATCAACTTCATCTCCTTCTTCACGGCGCTGGCTGTCTACTTTCGGCACAACATGTATTGTGAGGCTGGAGGTGAGGCCAGGCTAGGATCCAGATGGTCAGTGACTATGGGACAGTTGTGATGTTTTCTACAGTGTGAGATATGGCATTGTGTTACCTGTGTAGTAATGTAGTGGTTGATTTATCAAGAGGCCCCTGGGGCAGGGGGAGTGTGGGGACAGGAGGCTCACCATGCCCTTCCTTGTTTCTTCACGACAGTGTACACCATCTTTGCCATCCTGGAGTATACTGTTGTCTTAACCAACATGGCATTCCACATGACAGCCTGGTGGGACTTCGGGAACAAGGAGCTTCTCATTACTTCCCAGCCTGAGGAAAAGCGATTCTAAACCCTTCTCTCCCGCTGAGGAGGGGCCCATAGCCCAGAAACTAGAAATGAGATACCACTCTGGCCTTCCCCACCTCCTGTATCCTTTCTGGGTTCTACTGAAGCTGGGGAAGAGGAGAAGGAGAAAGGGCACAGGACATGGCTTTACCTAGCCTTACGGCATCTCCTTTCCCCCACCCCAAGAGGCACAGAGACCTTCCAGCACCATCACCCTTACCTGAGAGGCCCCAAGAAGCTGAGTTAGCAGGAGAGCTCCACCATCTGGTGCTAAAAGTCTTGAGGTTCATAACCACCATCCGGTTCTTGGCCTTAACATAGCCATCTCATTGAGGTCAGGGACCACCGAGCAGTGGCTGCCTCCTGAAAACCACAGCCATTCTCTTGACGTGGTCATTCATTTGACTAATGTGTCTAATAATCTATTCTGCACATCCAGGTCTACGGCCACAGTACCCTGCTAAGGCTGCCCAGATGGTCTATTCCTGACTTCATCTCTGGTGATGGGGGATAGGCAGGCTGCATGATGCCCAAGGGCTCTGCCAGTCTGTGCTTCTGTCACCTTGTGGAGGTGGTAGCCTGTGGGCTGACCTGCCCCAGAAAAAGCATTGGTACAGCATATTATTTCCCTATCCTTCTGAGGTCTCTGGCTTACAGACTCTTCCTCTTTGGCAAAAGTGGGGTGGTGGTGGGGGATCAGGCACAGATTCCTACCCCCATCACCCTACTACCCCAGGCCCTGAGCTCTTTTGATTGTACATTTTGTTTCAAAGGGAAATAAATTTTTTTTTTTTTTTGCCAACAGTCTGGGTTAGGCTTGCTTGACTTGGGACTCGTCTCTTTGTTTAGTGGAACTGAGGTGAGGAATAAGCTCCAGGATGGAATAAATCCATGACAGGTTATGATTCCACATGGTGTCTACTACCTCCTTAGGCCTAGAGTCTCCTATGGCTGGTTTAAGTGAGAAGTAACTGAGCTATCTCTGTGATGACTCCAGGCCCAGAAGCTGAGATACCTGGGAGTCTTGGGTGGAGGCAAAGGCCTGAGTTCTAGCCCCAACTGACAGTAGGTCGTTCTCCTTGGAGGTATAAGAGTACAGCTCAGATGCATGACCACTGAGAGCATCTGCCTACAGGCTGAGCCTCTCAACCTCTCCCTCTCTGAGCCCCAGAGCAAGACTGGCCCCTCCAGAGAGCCTAGAGCTTTGTTAGGGAAATTAGGGGGCAGGGGACCACAATGAAGCCTATTATCTTCTGTCTCTTCTTACAGGAAACAAAAGGCTCCCAGTCTCTGGGGAGCCCTAGCCCATGCCTGTCCCCTGCCCAACCCCCAATGTCCAGCACACAGGGAGGAGCCAGGGCCACTGGAGACAGGAGGTTTTATTGATGCTGATGGGGGTAGGAGCCCAGGGGGTAGGATGGGGGGGCTGAGTCAGTCAGCAATGCATAAGGCCTGGGCACATGGGGGCAAGTTAGGGCACATTCATCTTCTCAGGATTTTGTGGCTCCTTCACTGGGGAAGGGAGAGAGCATCTTGGAGGGAAGCAATTCAAAGAGCAGCAAGGGATAGGTTAGGGATGGCTGAGAGCCCCTAACCTGAGAGGCACCACAGTAGGCAGCAACATCTGTGTGGAAAGCTGGATCAGCTGGTCAGTAGGGGAAAATGGGAGGGGGCACTGGGTTGGCTTCTTGGGGAGGGGTCCAACCTTGGCCTGGGTGAGCTCTCAAGAATACCTGGTATTCCCAAACAGATTGGGTCAGGACCCAAAGCCCCTTTCCCTGTGGGCCTCCTTAAGGAGAAACAGGCATTCAGGGAGTCCCCTGGCAAGGGGTGCCAGAATTAGTCCTTAAGGCACAGCTGGGGGCAGACAAGGCGCCAAGGCACAACTGGTGGGGGTGGGCAGGGGCAGCCTCCAAGCTGAGTGCCAGGGTCACAAGAGGACACAGGACCGCCCACGCTTGATCGGTGTGGGGTTGAGCACAGCCCGGACAGCCTCAGCAAACACTTCCTTGACGCCGTCCTGCTGCAGGGCCGAGCACTCGAGGTAGCGCACAGCATGGATCTGCTTGGCCAGTGCTTGGCCCTGCTGCGGTGTGATGGGTGCCTGGCCCTGCTCCTTGAGGCGCCGCAGGGTGTCAGGCTGGGCTCTCAGGTCCTTCTTGGTGCCCACCAGGAGGATGGGCACATCAGGGCAGTGGTGGCACACCTCTGGATGCCACTTGTGCCGCACATTCTCATAGGAGGGTGGGCTGGCAATGGAGAAACAGATGACAAAGACGTTGGTCTGAGGGTAGGAGAGTGTGCGGAGGCGGTCATACTCCTCCTGGCCCGCCGTGTCCCACAGGTTCAGGTTCACTGTGCGCCCATCAACTGCGCTCTGGGCACTGTAATTGTCGAACACCGTGGGGATGTATTCCTTGGGGAAAGCGTTAGTTGTGTAGCAGATGAGCAGGCATGTCTTGCCAACAGCCCCGTCACCCACCACAACACACTTTATGCTCTGCATTGTGGCTGCAGCTGCTGCAGTGGAGGCACTGCCTCCTTCCCCTTCCGGGCCCCTCTGGATGCAACAACCTATGAACAGAGAATAGAGACACTCTTAGGAAGAAAGAAGGGGGGTGGGTAGCATACAGAGGGAAACAACCTTCCATTCTCTTAACCTGACACTATATTGTAGTCCCATCAAGGCAGACCTCAGAGAGACAGAAACACAATGAAAGAGAGGCCCTGAGAGCACGCAAAAAATGCTCAGGTGTAAGGAGGCAGGCCCTGTAATATGTAAATATGGGGAGCACATAAATTCTGGTGCTAGACTGACTAAGGTTAAATCCTAGTTCTGCTGTTTGTGACCCTGGACAAATTACTTCTTAGTTAGTGATTAGTGGGCCTCAGTTTTCTTATGTGTAAAATGGGAATAAAATACCTATCTCATTGGGTTATTAAGAGGATTATATAAGGTGACACATTAAAGAATTTAGAACAGTGCCTGGTCATAACAAGCATTCAGTTAAGTGTTAGCTACTTTCATTTTTCCTCCAGGCAGTATAGATACAAAAGGACAGTGTACAAGTGTAGAGATCAACCTGCCTCTATCGGATATGGACCCCTCCCAAGTGGACAGAAGAGGGGTTCTGGCACCTGGCGCTGTCCCAGGTCACTCTGAGATGCAAACATGGGTGGAGCCTCTTCCAACTCAAGGCCAGCCCTGTCCAGTGCACTGATGTTTCAACTCCAAGCCCAACATCCTGGCTACTGAGTACAATCCAAAAGGTGCAATAAGAAACTTGCTGAGTAAGGAGCAAGTCTCTAGATAGCTGCCCTATTGAAATCCAGGGTGCCCTGGGAAGGGAAAAGGCGGGAGAGCTAACCTAATTATTTTTGTAAGTATAGTAAACCCTATTTGGCCACACATACCCAGACTGGCAACTCAGTGTAGGGGACTATGGGAGATTGAGCCAAGGTTGGGATCTGGTTGGGAATCTGGGTATGTAATGATGAATGAGGCAAAGGGTGTGGCTCCCTGCCATCAGCCATCAGCATCTTCTCTAAAGATCCTTGGTGGGGTGAGGCAGATACTCCAAGTCCCCCACACGCCCCAAGAGGGATGAACACAACAGTAAAACAAACTTGATTTTCCCCTTACTTTTCTGTCCCTTTTATTGAGACCACGGCATGTGCCTTTGAAAAATTGCAGGGGCTTCCAAACTCTTGGGTAGAGAATTCAGTGCCATTAAAGCTCTATCAGTGAGAACACTTGCTGGAGGTAAATTGGCCAGGGATTCTAATCACAACTCTATCAACTAGTCATGTATGATCTTGGGCAACATATTACGTTTCCTGAGCCTCAATTCTCTCATTTGTAAAATGGGCAAAATCTTGCCTAATTGTGTTATAATTGCTTAGAGTATGAAATGAGCTACCTAACATGGAGAAAGTGTTTGGCCTGAGGCTTGGTACATAGGAAGTACCAAATAAATTGGGCTGCTATGATTATTAGTGGGGTATGAGAGAAGGAGTCCCAGCTCTAACCTTGTTCCCTTTGCAGCTCGTAGGGCCTCAGGGTGAGGAACTGCTCTTCTGAGTTCTGGAACAGAACAGAGCTTCCGGAAGCCCTGTGATTATTTATACTACTGTGGAAAAGGTTCTCCTCTCATTGGCTACTTCCTCTTGGCCATGAGGGACTTTTGCTGGCCAGTACGTGACTTCCTTTCCCGACTCTCTCTCACAACCAGAGCCCTGCATCCTGGGAGGGGACAGCCTGTTTTATTTTATTTATTTATTTTTAGAGAGAGGGATGGAGAGAGGGAGAGAGAGAAACATTGATGTGAAAGAGAAACATCGATCAGTTGCTTCCTGCATGTGCCCCAAGCGGGCTGGGGACTGAACCCACAACCAATATATGTGCCCTGACAGGGAATCGAACCTAAGACCTTTTGGTGCACTAGACGACCCTCCAACCAACTGAACCACACTGGCCAGGGTTGGACAGCCTGTTGTAGACACACTCAGATACCCAAGTATCCCTTGCTCTGCACCATCACCACTGGCCCATTTTATCCGTTTGGCCTTATATACTGCAGTACTGCACCCTAATCTGAAAACCCCTTAACTCTCAGCCTCACCTCTCAAACACTGGTTGAAAGACTCAAAAATCAAATTGTGAATGGGGGAGATTCCCCCATTGGGAAGCGAAAAGGAACTCTGGTGGTATGGGACCTGCACAGGACCCAGGGCTTGGTGCCAGCTTCCTCCCAGGCCCTAGCTTCCCCTGGGACCAGCAGGGAGGGAAATAGTTTCATTCTATGAGGTCTCCTCTGGTTCCCATAAAAATATTTCCATCTTATTTGTGTGAATGAGTGTGTGTGTTCAACCTCAGGAGAGAGGATAGAGAGCTCAGGGAATGGGTTGTGGAAGGAGATAAGGACCCTGTAGGGCAGTGGAGAGAACCTCACTCTGGAAGTCAAGAGACTTAAGTTCTAACCCTAGCTTTGTTTACTGCTGACTCACTGCAACAAAGCATGAGGCACTTACTCTCCCTGGCCTCAGTTTCCTAGTCCATGAAATGGAGATAAAAATGCGTCACAAGGGCACCAGGTAGATTAAATGAGACATGAAGAGCCCTGGGAGCAGGGGATAGGATGAAGAGGGTAGAAAATGCCCCCAGGAGCACAGGGTAGGGTGGGGGTGGAGGTGGAGCTGGGGCTGAGTCAGTCACCAAATCCATAAGGCCTGGGCACATGGGGGCAAGTTAGGACACACTCGTCTAGGTTTTTTGGCTCTTTTCTTGGGGAAAGGAGAGAGCGTGTTGTAGGAGTTGGTGCTGGTACCTATGTCCCCTGAATTACCTGGGAGACCCCAGCATTTTGAGAGAACTCCTGGGCCTGTAAATCTTCAGTTCCACACAGAGCAGGGCATGGGTGTGGCAGTTATGTCTGTGAACTCTTCCCCCACAGGCCCAGCATTGGGCTGGCCCAGGCAGGAAGGCAAGGAGGGAACTCTGGAAGGCAGTCACAAGGCCCAAGAGACTGGAAATGCAGTGGCTCCAGGCTGCTCTCTAGGGAGGTGGTTATCAACCAGCGATCAGTAAATCAGCCCTCAAAGGAGTGGGGAGGGAGAGGGCAGCAGCTTCCTGGCTGGCAAGGGAACAGGACTGACACAGGAAAAGGATCACGAGTGAGGTAGTGTCCAGAAACAAGCAGAGCAGAGGCAGTGTGATACAGGGCAAAGAGAAGTGGATTCCTAACTGTGACCACTTGGATTCACCTACTGACTCTGCCCTTTGATAAAAAGCCCT